GGCTGATTCAGGGTGGATATAAAAAGTTGGCTATCATCAGCATACTGATGATACCCCACCCCCAAACCAGGGATGATCTCCCCCAGAGGCTTCATATAGATGTTAAACAGCAGGGGAGAGAGAACCGACCCCTGAGGAACCCCACATGTGAGGGGCCTCGGGATCAACCTCTGCCCCCCCCACCAACACCACTTGCGAGCGTCCAAAGAGGTAGGAGGAGAACCACCGTAAAACAGTGCCTCCCACTCCCAACCCCTAAGTAACACTCAAAATCTCCTGGTTTAAAAGTCTTTAAATATCTATATAAAAAAGGAAGAGAAGTAAAATTCAAAATATTAGTATGGATGTTTAAACTATGAAAGGAATTTAATAATTTGAGCCATGGCAGGAGCAGAAACCTCTGTGCAATGTGAGGTGTAGAACCCAAGCAGACCATTCCAGAATATTAGGCACCAACGTAAAGATGCTATGGTGACACAGAGACTTACATCCATATCACAAATGTGATTCATCATGTTTAATGAGGTCCTGTTTGGCATGAGTCACTTCTATGAGCTTGTATTTTTCCCCACTCAGAAAACACCATCTGAACAGTTATTCACAAAGAAATTATCAGCCCATTGTGCTCCTCCGACAATGAGTCATGCATATGCCTTCGTACTCTAATTGTAAATTTGGGTGGGGGGGGCAAAAGTGATCTGTGTCTACAATTTTAACTCCGAGCTTCAAGTATCATTATAATGTGCTTTTAGCACACGTTTGAGCTTTTCCTAAATTCCTGGAATTATTGTTTCAAGTATGTGATGCGAATGAGTGGACAGCATGAAATAGCTTTCTACTCCTAGGGGAAAACCATGTAATGTAATGCTGATGTTGTTTACTAACTCCTCCCTCTCAACTATTTTTATTTATTTGTCAAGCATATATAAAATAACAGATAAAAGTGTAAACATGATTTGAATACTTGAGAAGGATACAAGTAAAAAGGGACATTAGGACAGGGACAGTAGGCACAATGGTGCGCTTATGCACACCCCTTACAGACCTCTTAGGAATGGGGTGAGGTCAACAGTACACAGTCTAAGGTTAAAGTTTTGGGGGTTTGGGGAAGAAACCACAGAGTCAGGTAGTTCATTCCAAGCATTGATGACTCTGTTGCTGAAGTCATATTTTCTGCAATTGAGTTTGGAGTGGTTTACCTTAAGTTTGTATCTATTGTTTGCTCGTATATTGTTGTGGTTGAAGCTGAAGTAGTCATTGACAGGTAGGACATTGTGGCAGATAATTTTATGTACTATGTTTAGGTCAGACCAAAGGCGGTGTAGTTCTAAGTTGTCTAAGCCCAAAATTTCAAGTCTGGTGGCATAAAATATCCTATTGTGGGTTGAGGAATGGAGGACACTTTTCGTGAAATATCTCTGGACTCTCTCAATTGTATTAATGTCCGATATGCAGTGCAGGTTCCAGACAGATGAGCTGTATTCAAGAATTGGTCTAGCAAATGTTTTGTATGCTCTAGTTAGTAGAACAATATTACCAGAAAAGAAGCTATGCAAGATTAGGTTAACAACCCTTAATGCCTTTTTGGCAATGTTGTTACAGTGGGCTCTGTCACTTAGATCTTTAGAAATGAGTACTCCAAGATCCTTGACAGAGTGAGGGTTGTCTTCAAGATCATGTCCATCTAACTTGTATTTTATGTTCTGATTTTTTTTTGCCAATGTGCAAGACAGAGCATTTGTTGGCTGAGATTTGAAGTTGCCATTTGTTTGACCAATCTGACATATAGTCAAGGTCTTTTTGAAGGGTAGTAGCATTGTCGGTAGTGTTAAATAGTTTTACATCATCAGCGAAGAGAACTCAGTTGCTTTTAATATGATCGCAAAGGTCATTTATGTAAAGTATAAAGAGTGTTGGACCTAAAATGCTGCCTTGGGGAACACCACTGTTAACAGGTACAGGATTTGATAGAGCGCTTCCTATTTTGACCACTTGTTGCCTGTTTGACATGAAGGCAGCTATCCATTTATGTAGGAGTCCAGAAATGCCATAAGATTTTAATTTTTGAAGTAGTTTGTCGTGAATCAAAGGCTTTACAGAAGTCTATGTAAATTGCGTCTATTGCAACTAGTTGGGAAGGCTGGCCCTGAAAGATATTCCTTTAGGATCAGGGTCCTGGCATAGAAAAGGTTTTCCCACCATCACTTTTCGGTCTGAAGCAGGGGTATCCAACCTTGGCAACTTTAAGACTTGTGGACTTTATCTCCCAGAAGGCCCCAGCCACAAGTCCACAAGTCTTAAAATTGCCAAAATTGGACACCCCTGCTTTAAACCGGAAAGTGATGGTGGGAGAACCTTTTCTATGTCAGGATCCTGATCCTGATGGAATATCTTTTAGGATGACATCGCTGGCTGGGGAATTCTGGGAGTTGAAGTCTACAAGTGTTAAAGTTGCCAAGGTTGGACACTCCTGGTCTGAAGAATGCTGACATGAACCAAGAAACACGAATGGAGAGAACACAAATGGTCTTACCTGACTCTTAACTGTACATAACAATCTTTTCTAATGTACTACAGAGTTGGGTATGCACATTTGTACACCAGGTTGGAATTCTTCTCACTGAACAATGAGGGACAGATTACAGTCAATCAGGTTCACATTAGAAAGTTAAAAATATACCACCTTTTGCTGCCTGGATGCCTAGTTATGATAGCAACCCCTACTCCCTCCTCCTTCATGACAAAGGGAACCTTTCTTCCCTGCAACAAACCCATTCCTCAGGAGCTGTCAATCAGCAACTTCAAGCTATAGGTTAGCCTGATCACTTTTTTGCCTCTTATCTTTTTCTTTAAAAAAAATATTTCAATTTAATTCCATTTATTACCATCATTACTAGATTTGCTGCTAATTATATTAAATATTTTCATCCTCTCTAGCTTTTTTTGTTACTATGGTAACTGTGAATGGTCACTAAACAAGATGATTATTAAAAGAGGATGACCTGTACCTCCTTTGAGAACTTGATATCTGGGTCAATAAAAGTTTGCTCCTGACGTTTCAAGGGAGTTGTCAGTTGCCACTACATATTCTCATAAAGATACGCGGTGGCTCAGTGGCTGAGCTTGTCGATTGAAAGGTTGGCAGATCAGCGGTTCGAATCCCTAGTGCTGTGTAACAGGGTGAGCTCCTGTTACTTGTCCCAGCTTCTGCCAACCTAGCAGTTTGAAAGCACGTAAAAAATGAAAGTAGAAAAAATAGGGACCACCTATGGTGGGAAGGTAACAGCATTCCATGCGCCTTTGGCATTTAGTCATGCCAGCCACATGACCACAGAGACGTCTTCAGACAGTGCTGGCTCTTTGGCTTTGAAATGGAGATGAGCACCACCCCCTAGAGTCGGGAACGACTAGCACATATGTGCAAGGGGAACCTTTACCTTTATTCTCATATATATAAAACCTCAAAATATGGGTTAGAAAACACCAAAATATTCAGATTGTTGCTGAAATGGATAAATTATTTGATTAGAGAAAAAGACATTATCTACATTTATTGCTGATTGGAAGCTTCTTAGGAGCTTTATCATGTATAAGGAAAATGAAAAAAAACCCTGTGAAATAATTTTGATGATTAGACAGGATAGATAAAACCGAGGGTAACATGATGTAATTTAGGAGATAGAGGTCAAAATATATTTGATTTATGACTGCTGTGAAAATTATCAGAAGCCACTTTTCTTATGGACTCTTTTTCTTTGCTTACTGTCTATTAGTTTGTGTTAGCTTTTACTTTTTTTGTTTAAAAGTTTTAATAAAAACTATATTTTTTTAAAAAAAAGAAAACATCAAAATGATATTGTGTCAATGTGAGATTGGCGAAGTATGCCACATATTTAAAACTTAGATGAATTGATAAGTAAAAGTAAGCAACCAATTTTGTTGTATACAATGTACAATGACAATAAAGGCTATTATTATTATTATTAAAAATAAATGACACTACCATCTTGACTTCAATTAATTATATTAAAGGAAGTTTTAGAACTTCTTAAAGAACTACTTCGTAGATGTTTATTTTGCTTAAGTACCAAGATGCTGAATAACCTTGTTGATGGTCTGACCAAATTCCTATCTTTGAAAAACTCTAGACAATGAGTGAAATACCAGGTGATTGGAGAAGAGCAAATATCCTTATTTGCAAAAAGTGGAAAAGGAAGACCCAAAAATGTCAGACCAGTTAAGTGCTGTATTGAGTAGAAATCCGCACAATTGACCAAAACCACTTCTTATTACATTAGTCTTGCTACTTTTACTGAGTAAATACTTAATAGATAGTGGGAGTCATGTGGACATAATATAACTTGACTTGAGTACAATGTTTGACAAAACACTTCTCCTTTGTAAGACTGATATATGTCTATTACAGCTAGCTTGAAAACAGTGTCAAAGATGTTCATCAATAATTCCTCATCAAATCAGACAAAACTATCATTGTCACAGGGGTTGGTTCTGGGCCTAATACACATCAATATTTTCTTTAAAGTTTTGGATGAGAAGATAAAAGGACAGAGAACTTCTAATACTTTCATTCTTCTAATACTAGAAGTTGAAACAAGATTAAGTTAAATAAAGCCAGTTATTTTCATCACCATTCTCTCGGATGAAACAATAAAATGACATTTAATAAAGACAAATGTAAAATTCTTCACATGAACAAGAAAAGAAATTGGATGGGGGATACTGGGACTGGTAACAATATGTGTGAAAATGATTTGTAATTGATCACAAGCTACAAATGAGTCAACCGTATGCTCAGTTCTGGCACCATAATAAAAATTCAGAGTAAGCAGGACAAGTGTAGAAAATGAGGATGCTCACAGGACTGGAAATGAGTAGTCTTGAGAAAATATTTAGCCTTCAGGAAAGTATGGAGTATGATAGCATTTCATAAATATTTGAACAGGTATCACAACAAAGAAGATCTGGCGTACAAAATACAAAACCTTGAAAATTATTTTACTTTACAGGAAAGCAGAATCTGCAATGCTAGGAAAAACACATTAACAATAAGGGCTGCTTATTAGTGTAATCAACTATATGGAGAAGCCGTGTGCCTCTGTTCATTGGATGTGTTCAAACAAAGCTGGACAATAATTTAAACACAATGACACAATGAATAATGACTAAAGCTGGAATGCCAATCAATGAAGACTTCATGGTCTACATCAGTAGTGATGTTGTCATCTTTCTGTCATGGTTTCCGCCACGTTAACCTCTCCATTCTCATTAGAGATTTATCATGTATATAAGATTTTTTTTTTCCCTTTCAGAAGTCCAACTCTTTGGACACCACTTTCTGGACCAGATTCAGGCTGTTCCTTTTTTTACCTTTATTATTCATATGAAGAAAAGTTTGTTCTAGATATTTTCTCATCCTGTTTCAAGTCTATTATTAGCTTGTTTATTCATGTTTCCATGAATAATTCTTACAGGGATTTAGTCATAATTAGACATTTTGTCATATTAGCAGAAGCAGAACAATAATCTTCTTTCTGGTCCCTTCTCCCTCTGAAAATCTCTGTTGGGTGGACAGAATCCACATTGTCTTCTCTTCAATGACCCCGAATCACTCTGGAACTGTATCTTTTCAGCATCTCAAGAAGGCCTAGCCCCAATTTTACTTGCTAGCCATTTTCCTTTTTCTTCAATTCCAAGACCACTACAGTGTAAAATAACAACAACAAATTTGTACATGCAGTAGACCAAGAATTATTGTGTACTTTCACAACAGCCAGTAGTTGAATAGAAGGAACTTGGAATTGAGGTTGAGGTGGGGCAGGGGTGAAATTTACTTACCTTCCCTACTTTTTTGCAAATGTGCACGCGCTGTGCGCACGCTCGCCCACACCATCATCTGCGCAAGCGCAGAGGTTTAAAATGTCACAAGAAAGCAACATCATGATGTCCATGCGGGTGGGCGGAGCCTCCCACAGCCGCCGCTACTGGTTCGCCTGAGCTGGATAGAACCGGCTGGATTTCACCCCTGAGGTGGGCAGGAAACACATGAGCTGGATACACATCCATAAATATTTACAGATCCCTCGCATACTGGACATAAATTGTTTCAACTCCTACCCTCAAAATGATGCTATAGAGCACTGCATACCAGAACAACTAGACACAAAAACACCATCACTCTGCTAAACAAATTACTCCCTCAGCACTGTCAAATTATTCACTAAGTCTGCATTACTATTACTATTAATCTTCTCATCGTTCCTATCACTCATCTCCTCCCACTTATGACTATATGACTGTAACTTGTTGCTGTATCCTTATAATTTATATTGACTGTTTCCTAATATTATTTGATTGCTTATTTGTACCCTATGACTATCATTAATGTTGTACCTTATGATTCTTGACGAATGTATCTTTTCTTTTTATGTACACTGAGAGCGTATGCACCAAAGACAAATTCCTTGTGTGTCCAATCATACTTGGCCAATAAAGAATTCTATCTATCTATCTATCTATCTATCTATCTATCTATCTATCTATCTATCTATCTATCTATCTATCCATCCATCCATCCACCCACCCACCCACCCACCCACCTCTCTCTCTCTCTCTCTCTCTCTCTCTCTCTCTCTCTATCTATCTATCTATCTATCTATCTATCTATCATGAGCTGCTCAGCAGAGTCAAGAGAATAGAATGTCTTCTCCATAATAATAATAATAAAAAAAAGAATAGCAAAGAATTGTATGAATATTTTACTGCCGTTTCAAATAAAGGCACTGAAAATAATAGTTTATGAGAAAGGACATGGTCCAGCTATTACCTACTGGTTACTGTAAGATGACCCAAGTTTTCTCTGCATCTCTTCGAAATACACCGCTAAGAAAAAAGACAAGTAGAAAGCAATTTCATTATCATTATCTCTTCTTTGTTTCCACCCATCTTCTCTTTCATAGAAAAGGTCATTGGTAACATGCTCAAAGACTGCAAAGACTTATAGGAGAGTTTAGTTTTTCTGGGAAGTTGGATCATTCTCACCATCCTTTGGGAGTATAATATTTTTGACTCATTTGTTTATTGGAGATTTGTGTGGAGAACACATCATGTTTTAGGTCATATTTATGTAGAAATATTGACAATTCAAACATTCATAAATTTTTAAGCACCACTGTTTACTACTAGTATGAATATTGGTTTGAATTAAAAGTCTGATGAATTCAAATTTTTCTTTTGTTTTGTGAACAAGTTTCTAAAATATGGTGCTAGGTGATAACAAGTGCTAAGAATACCTTGGCTAGGGTAAGGTTCAGCCACATATAATTGACGGTGCTGATTTAGGGTAGTCCTAGGCATAGGTATCCATCCCTAATCATAATGATGTCTCAAAGAATAAATATACATTGTGATGTCACACTGCAACTTCTCCCTTCTTCTACTTCCATGGTGACATCACACACAAGTATGTATCAATGAGCTTGCATAATGTCACAAGCATGGGTGCTAATCAGCAGGTTCTGACAGGCTCTGGAGAACCAGTAGTGGAAATTTTGAGTAGTTTGGAGAACCGGCAAATACCACTTCTGTCTGGCCCCAGAGTGGGGAGGGAATGGGGATTTTGCAGTATCCTTCCCTTGGACTGGGGAGGGAATGGAGATTTTACAGTATCCTTCCCCTGCCATGCCCACCAAGCCACACCACACCCACCAAGCCACGCCCACAGAACTGGTAGTAAAAAAAATTGAAGCGTGGCCAATGTCGCAGTGGCAAGTCGGGTTCTTTAAGATCTCTTGAGGACCTGTCGATATCTCTGCAGTCCGAGGGTCCAAAGTGACCTAAGTCATCCTGAAGGAATGATAAACAAGGGGAGCATGGACTGGTCAGCATAGGGGGATCGCAAACTCCCTGGCTGAACCAGAAGCTCCTCAAACCGAACTGCTGAGAAAGCGGCCTTAGAAGTTGCTAGGAAGCTGTGGTGGCAGTAATGAAAGAAGATGACAGGAAAGCAAAGTGAGACATCGAGGTGAGAAAGACTCTGATTTTTACAAAAGACTTTTCCCTTTGAATCCAACTGGCATTTAAATGAGAATAGATGGGCTGAGAGTGAGGAGTGAGAGTGGGTGTGTATCCGCTTTCACATCCGGGAATCTGGCTGCGGAGAAGAGACAAAAGCCTCTTTTTTCTTTCTTTTTTATATTTTTCTTTGTGGTTGAGAAAAGAAAAGTAATTTCTTAAAAATAAGAAATTGGGACTAAATGAATTAATGATTGAATCCCATTTCTATTAAAATGCTGGAATGATGATAACTGAGAAAACGAAACTTTAAAGATTGTTTTCTTTAAAAAAAACTGTTCTTAAAAGATAAAACAAAATTGAAGATTGCTTTAAAAAGTTTGCTGTGTTCTTGAAAGCTAGTCTGCAATGCCATCTAGTGGCAGAAGGGAAAAGATTTTGACTTGGAAGAAACACTGAGTATAGTTGACCTTGACATTTTGGTAGACTGATAAAGAAAACAAATGTATAAGAGAGAAGACTGGATTTTGAACTTTCCTTTTGGCTTTTAATCTTTTATTATTATTATTCACTGACTGATGATTGCTTTGAAGTTCCAAAACTAGATTGACAAGAAATTGGATTAAGATTGGAAGAGTCAGAAGAACATTTTTCCTTTTTGGTTGTTTGGATTTGTATTTTTATCTTTTACTTTTGGCAGTTGTATTTTTTCTCTCTTTTTTTTTTCTCTCTCTCTCTGTTGGAGTATTTGGGAATTTGATTTTTGAGGGAGGTGGTTGATTGGAATTTTTGTTTTTTTAATTTTTGTATCTTATCTTTCATTTTCATTTTTATTATTATTATTCTTTTTACCTAATCCAACCATTGGAGAGGATTAGGCACCTGGATTATAAATATGAAGAAATTTTATATCACACCCACACCCAACAGCAAGTCCCTCATCAACAGAAACACAGAAAACGGGACTTCCGGTTTGCTCTTCGTAGCCACCAGACGGTCCCTCGGGACCGCCAGCCCCTTCGCCTGTAAAGAGCCACCTGTACAGCGCAAAGGCGGCTCGAAAAACCCCATTTCCAGGAGGAAATGTGGGATAGAGGAGGTGAGTGTAGGTAGAGCTCTCCGTAGCCCCCAGGGTTTTTTTTTTTTACTCTTGGGGGCGGGCGGAGGAAGCTCCCTATAGCACTCGCCGCCCGCTCCGGGCGTTGGGAGACTTCTGCCTTTTTGCAGAACAAGGCTACGAAGACAAGCTTTTTAAGATATTTAACAGATTAACTAAAGATGATGAGATTTGGATCTGGACCTGTGACCCTAAATTGCAAGTATTAATACTTATTTCGCAAAGGATATTCAACAAAGTAAAAAAGACCTTTTAAAATGGCAATTGCCGAAACTGGAACAGGGAAGCTGAAAAGAGAAAGTCCTTCCGTTTCTTATTAAGCCACAAAGTAGCAGAATAAATGCTCCTGGCTACATTTGAAGGGATATGAGCTGGATCTGTGACCCTGAATCGCAAGTATCTCACTTATTTTATAACAATTATTGAAGAAGGAAAAGGAAAAGGAAAAAAGAATCTTTAAAAAGGGCGATTGCCGAGGCTTGAGAAGGGGCTGAAAGGGAGAGTCCTTCCGTTTCCTATTGAGATACAAAGTAGCTGAATAAATACTTTTGGCTACACTTGAAAATAAAGCTCTCCTTTTGTGTTTTTTCTCTTCCTGGAGATCTGATATTGATCTTGGTTGGAAAGAAGTTTTTTTTCTCTGCTGCCTCTCTTTTCTTTTTTTTTAAAAAATAGTTTGTCTGTGTTGAAATATGGCATTAAAGCCGGTCAAACAAGCAATGGGGGGGGATTCCCCCATTAACAAATTACGTGACCAAGTTTTAAAGCTCCAGTCTCAGAAAACTGATTTTAATATAATTGAATTTCTTTTGGAGGAGATTGTAAGAAGGGATGAGATTGTGAATCAGAACTTTGAAAAATTTAAGCAGGAAATTAAAGAATTAGTGCAATTAAAGTTTGATATTCTGGATCGAAAGATTATAAAAATGGCTAATGGCTTTGCAGAATTTATGATTAAGTTGGATGAAAATACTAACTTATTAGAGTCTAAAGTGGAAGAAATTGAGGACAATTTGGACAATAAAATACAAAAAATTGAAAATGATTTGACAAACATTCAAGACAATAGCTCAGAAGAAAAACCTAAAATGGAGGTTGAACAAAAGTCTTGTAATGCAGAAAATTTACAACAACGGATTGAAAGAGAGGTTCTAATGGTGCATTACAATTTTACAGAATATGCGATCAGACTGAGAGGTTTGCAGGAAAATAACAGAGATGATTTAAGGAAAATATCTTCTGAAATTCTGGCTGGGATTTTAAAGGTTCAACCTGAGGAAGTGTTTTGTAGGATTGACAGAGTTTACAGAATAAACTCCTGGATTGCAAAGCAAAGGCAATTGCCTAGAGATGTGGTGATTTATTTTACAGATAAAGAAATTAGGAATAATATTGTGCAAAATTCCTTCAATTCTACTTTGCAATTGTATGGAAGAAAGATATGGATCTACAAAGAGCTCCCCCCCAAGATGTTAACGGAAAGGAAGAAATTTGGTTTTCTGGTGACTGAGTTAAAATACAGAAATATTTCATTTAGGTGGGATGCCCCAGTTGGCATAATATTGAGATATCAAGGAGAAAGATACCAATTAGATACTGTTGAAAAAGCGGAATAATTTTATCAAAAAATTTTGAAAATGAACTTAACATCTATAGGCACAATACAGGATAAGCAGAAGGAGTTGGAAATAAAGGGAAAACATCGAATTACAGAGGTTGCGGTAGACAAATTGCCTTTGGATTCTCTCGATACCCCAGCTGGATTATCTACAAATATGAGAGAAGCGGCATCTGATTTCAACGTGATGATTCACCAAGTCAAAGACAAGTATGGAAATCAATTAGCTGACATACAATTGGCAAAAAAGAAATATGAGATACAAAAACAAAACCAACAAGATCAACTTATAAAGCAGAATGAAAACCGATCAGTTGATATACAACTTGTAGAAAGGAAAACAGGATGGAAATTAAACCCACAAAAAGAAAAGAAAAAAAGAAATAGGTCTCACAAAAACAGAAATTTCTAAATTAAGCAACGGTGAAGCCAGTGATTTTTTAAAAAATGAATGAATATGTGAAAAGATAGTGGAGGCGAAGTATTGGTTAATATCATCCTGAGGACAGTGACAGACCTCTGCAATGCCGTAATTTTGGGATGTGAAAAGAGCCTTAAACTGTTGGATTTGAATTATCTATTTTGGATTTCTTTCTTGTATTGATAAATATATTATAACTATTCTGAGCTACAAGGCAAGAGAGCTACGTTGGGGCATGCAGAAGATCTGGTTGTTACCCATTAGGATGATGGGAATTAATAATCCTGATGAAAGCCACAATTACAACTATATGGAATATAATCATAATGTCACTCGGGTGGTTGTTTTTACTTTTATATATATATGAGGATATTCATTACTGATGGGGGCAGATGATGACTGAAGACTTTGAACAAACTGTTGCACCAGGATGCTACGTTACCCAATTATGGATGAGGGACTCAACAATCCAGTGGAAAGACATCAAAGAAGATATTATATGGATTATAAATTTAAAGTTATTGTCTTTTTTTTTTTAAATAACGGAATATATACATATATATATATATATTAGCAGAGTGGGCAGTGGATTAAAGATATTAAGAATTGTTGTGCATGGTAATTTTGTAGGAAAGTGGGTCGAAATATGTTAGTTAACTGATTGATTAGTTTAAGAAAAGGGATGTTTAAGTGATATATTTAGGGCAGTGGAGGAAATGGATAGAGTTGAATAAATGTTAAATTAGGACTTATGGGGAAGGCTGCTTTGAAATGTTATATTAATATACACAAAGAATAAATGTTAAAGTAGGATTTATTATATAGTCTTAAAGTGGAAGGTTGCTTTGAAATGTTGTAATAATATATAGATATAAGTTTTGGGGAGGACAAAAAGGGCAGATTATTGCTAAATTGGGAGTTATAATAATATTATGCTAAATTAGAAGTTATCATACAATGTTATAGCAGACTGCTTTTTTTTTTGAAATGTATGGTAAAAGGGGAAAGTAACAATATCAATAATATTTTTAGTAAGTAAGGGTCAGTATGTAGAGGAGGGAGTAAGGAGATGGTAAAATATTATGTAATCTGTTATGAATTAGGTTTTTGGTGTGAAGAAGTCACAGGGGGGGATGGGTGGCGAGGGGGGGGTTAGGGAGGAGGGGGGAAGGAAAAAAGGGGGGGAAATTTGTATTTGAAAACTTTTTCAATAAAAAAAAAACAGAAACACAGAAAACTTCGGAGATGATGGAATTAAGAAATTTTATACAATCACTTCATGATAACTTAAAACAGGAAATAAAAGAAATAAAAGCCATGATTGGGAAAAATGAAGAGAGAATCCAGAAAGTAGAAGAAAAGGCGGAAATGACAGAAAAGAAAGTTGAGACATTAGAAGAAAAATTGGCACCAACTGAAAAGTCAATTATCCTGTTGGAGATGGAACGTTCTGAGTTTTACTTAAGATTCAAAAATATAGAAAATTTACCTGAGATGATTGCTGAGATACTATCAGAAATTTTGGAACAATCCAAGGAAAAGATCTTAAACGAGATTGATGAAGCCTTTAGAGTATACACAAGATATGCCATGAGGAACTAACTACTGAGAGAAGTACATGTAAGATTTACAAAGAAGGCAATGAAAACAGAGATATTACAAGCAGCAAGAAATACAGCACCGAAACACAAAGATAAAGAAATTGTGGTATTAAGACAAATACCTAGAATAGTTAGAGAATTGAGGAGAGAATATCAGTTTCTTATGAAGTTCCTAATATTCAAAGGAGTGAATTTTAGATGGTTAATACCAGAAGGAATTTTGGTGACATGGCAAGAACAAAGACATAGACTTGACTCCATTGAAAAAGCAAAACTATTTTATCAACAATTTTGTGGACCACTAGAAGAAGACTTGGGAGCAATAGGAGAGACAAAGCAAAAAGAGAAAGAGAAAGATGAAAAAGTAGAGGAAGGAAGAGCCCTAAAAGAAGGAGCACAATCTAAAGATCCAATGGAACAAAGAGAGACAAGGGCGATGAAATCAAAATCTAGTAACAAGTAAAACATGGAAGAAGAAATTAAAGCAATATCTTTAACTATAAACGAGCCGAGGTGGTGCAGTGGTTAGAGTGCAGTACTGCAGCTACTTCAGCTGACTGCTAGTTCAGCAGATCAGCAGATCAAATCTCACCGGCTCAAGGTTGACTCAGCCTTCCATCCTTCCGAGGTGGGTAAAATGAGGATCCAGATTGTTGGGGGCAATATGCTATTTAGTATACTGTCTTTGGTGTAAGCCGCCCAGAGTCCTCAGACAGTGGGAGGCATAGAAATATGAATAATAATAATAATAATAATAATAATAATAATAATAATAATAATAATAATAATAATTGGATTGAATGTGGCGATAAAAAGAAACAGAACTTTATCTAAATTAAATAGCTTGAAGATGGACATTATATGCCTACAAGAAGTGCATATTAGAAAACAACATTTAAAATTATTACAATATCCAAAGTTAGGAGTTCTATTTACATCATTGATACAACAAAGCAAAAGAGAAGTGGTGCTGTATATTAAAGAAAAATTAGAACCTAAATTACTTTTTGAGGATGAAGAAGGCAGGATTTTGATGGTGGAAGTAAACAAATACTTTTGATAGCAATATATGCACCAAATGAAAAACAAGAAGAATTTTATCGGAGACTACACAGAAAAATTTTAGAATTGGATTATGAATATGTATGTATAATGGATGATTTTAATGCTGTAACAAATGTGGATCTGGACTATAAAACAATGAAGACAAATAAAAAATCCAGAAGAATATTGTCGAAATCTTTTTTTACAATGATAGAAGAGTTGAGTATTCAGGATATTTGGAGAACCGGTAGTAAAAAAAAATTGAATTCCACCACTGATCACAAGGTATCTTTTGTCATATGCCTCCCCTAGCTGCCTGTGGCTCTGTAAAAAGTGTTCTTCTCATTTATAGCCAGGCAAGTATCAGAAGCAAGCCAATGCATAGTTTCTGGCTGTGAGTTGGAGGAACTGAACAAAATAGTGGTTTTCTGGGGTGGTGTTTACATGCTTCCACCTTTTCATAGTCTTTGTGTGAGCCCCAAGGGAGCAACAACATCAATCAAGGACCATCAGACCTGGGCTAAAAATATCAGGATGAATATTAGAATGCAGCATTTAGGATGATCTGGGGTTTTTCTAGCTCAGAACTGATAACTGTCTTAGTTAAACACAGTTTCTGTGTGATAGGCTTCACGGAGTCTAAAAGCAGACTGTTCTTCTTCAGCAATTGTTCTTTTGATAGCGGAAAGGGGGACGAATGGACGCATAAATCATCCTTCCTCAATTTAACACACTTTGGGCAGCTGGGAGTTTGGGGAGTTGCAGTACCAATGCATTTGGAGAACATCGGAATAACAGAATCAGAAGGGGCCAGTCCCCTGCACAAGTAGGAGACCACATACCAATGATGGCTAACCTTTTCTGGACTGAGTGTCCAAAGCGCATGCCCAAACCCCAAAAATGCAATGCGCGTGGGGGGGCCACACATGCACCCCACCCCCATGCATGTGTGCACAGGCCCCCCACATGCATGCACACACACACACACACATGCGCGGCAGAGATCCGAAGACCAGCTGGCTGGTGGGAGAGGTGCGTGCATGCTCCTTAGCATGTTAACCAGCTTTAGCCAGCTTTAGGCTAAATCAAATAGACACTGATCTGGAGCACCAAAAGTTAGGGGGTGCCAATACTGCCCCTCCTTCCAAATTATTGTAACAATACAAATCTTCACATCACCAGGAGGTAGCACCATCAATCAATATGGCTAGGTCTGTCATATGCCCTTGAGCTGACACCAATGTCCACTTGGCTTCCATCTGTTTCTTTGAATGCACATGAATATCCAGGACAATAGCCTTTTGATTGCAAATGGCCAAGTACTAATGGCAACAAAATTTAGTAATTTTAGTATATGGCTAATAATATCTAGTGATATGGTAGTTGTAGGATAGCTCACCTGACATTAGGCAGAAGAATGATTGCGAACAGCCTTTTCTAATACCTGAAAAATGGGAAGGGGAGATGAAATGGACTGAAGTCCTAACCAGGAACATTTGCACTGCTACATTAATATGTCAGATGCAGCTTTTTAGCCAGATTACTGGATACACAACAGAGATAGAAAGATTCAGCAGTACCACTATGGAGGAATGGTTGGTGGAGTTGACAGATTTTGCTGAAATAGATAAATTGATTTCTTTGGTTAGAGAAAAGTCATTATTTATTGGTGACTGCAAGCCTCTTGTTTATTTATTTATTTATTATTGCGATTTATATGCCGCCTTTCTCCCTAGGGACTCAAGGCGGCTTACAAAATGACAAATTCCAATACAAATCACAATGAAATAAATTAAAATCAACAACCCTATCAAAAGTCCATAAAGTCTTATGGACTTTTGACATAAAATATTTTAAAAAATGAAATTATAACATGGTTTTGATGATTAGGTAGGATAAGTTATAGAAAGAAGAACAATATGACATAACTTTATAGAGGGGGGGGTGTCAATCAGGGATGAAATCCAGCAGGTTCTGACAGGTTTTGGAGAACCGGTAGTGGAAATTTTGAGCAGTTCAGAGAACCGGCAAATACCACCTCTGGCTGGCCCCAGAGTGGGGTGGGAATGGAGATTTTGCAATATCCTTCCCCTGCCACGCCCACGAAGCCATGCCCACAGAACCAGTAGTAAAAAAATTGGATTTCACCACTGGGGTCAATATATATTTGTACTTATACTGTAACTATGTGGAAAATATCAGAAGCCACTTCTTTATATATTTTTTCTTTTCTATTTTTCTTTATTTTTTGCTTCCACTTTTTGCTTTTTCTTTGGTTTCTTTCCATTTTCTTTCTTGTTTTTATTTTGTTTCAGTTTTAATGATAGCGAGATGGATGGATGGATGGATGGATGGATGAGAGAGAGAGAGAGAGAGAGAAATAGATAGAGATAGATAATAGACGGGTGGGTGGTGGGTGGATGGATTGATAGATAGATAGATAGATAGATAGATAGATAGATAGATAGATAGATAGATAGATAGATAGATAGATAGATAGATAGATAGATAGATGATAGATATGGATGGATGGATGGATGGATGGATACATACATACATACATACATACATACATACATACATACATACAGATAGATGAGAGAGAGAGAGAGAAAGAGAGAAAGAGAGAGAGATAGAAATATAAAGATAGAAATATAGACAGACAGACAGATGTCCCTTTTTGAGTAAAGCATTTAAATAAATAAATAAATAAATAAATAAATAAATAAATAAATAAAAAGTATAACTGCTCTGATGATCTTTCAACCAATTGCAGCCAACATCTAAACTAAGCCTTCTCTGAAAGTTATTCACCACTCAAGACAATAGAAATCCTTTGATGTAGAATCTGTGATTAAACTTCTATTCCAGCAACTTAAACTCTTGTGTGCTAATGCACTGTATGGTGTCGCACACTTCATTTGTTTTACTGCTGTCTGACACAGAAAACAGATTCTGGGACAGGGACTGGGTTCCTGTAGGGCTTCCCCAAGCACCCAGACTAAATGCCAGTGCAAAGCTTTTCCATCCTTGGGAGATTTCCTTTCTGGAAATACCATAAATGTACATTAGAGGGCATCAAACACCTGCCTGTGAAGACTTGATCTGCTCAGTAACTTCACAGTGCAGAAAAGTGTCACTTTAAAAAGTATTTCCCTCTTTAACCTGCCATAAGGGAAAGAGCAAAGATGCATTCATAGCTTTGAAGTCAGACACGATCTTTGGCTGGGATTACAAAATTAAAATACGGCAGACTAGCCTTAAATTGTGCTTAATACATCCATGTCATTTTCTTGGTAACAATTTAGAAGTTGTCTGGTAGTCAAGAAGTCTTCATAGATATTATGAGATATAAATGCAGTACAGACAGTCCTCAACTTACAATGGTTCATTTAGTGACCTACAATGGCACTAAAAAAAGTGACTTATGACCGTTTTTCACACAACCACTGCAGCATCCCCCTGGTCATGTAATCAAGATTTGGGCATTTGGCAACTGACTCATATTTATGACAGTTGCAGTGTCCCGGGGTCATGTGACTATCTTCTGCACCCTTCTGACAAGCAAAGTCAATGGGTTTCACTTAACAATCGTGTTACTAACTTAACAACTGCAGTGATTCACTTAACAACTGTGACAACAAAAGTCATAAAATGGGGCCAAATTCACTTAACAAATGTCTCGCTTAGCAACAGAAATTTTGGGCGCCGTTGTGGTCACAAGTTAAGGATCTCCTGTATGCTATTATTTGCTGATCCTTGTCAAAAACTATTTATTTCAAATGTCAGCAAATTAATATATATTGGAGCAAAGTTTACCAAAAAAAGCTTTGTTTTTCCCCTATCACTTTTTTTTAAGTGCCTCTTTTAAACTGAATTGTGCTATGACACTGATGCCTGAATTTTATTTCTACGGAATATTCTGCCCCATTTGAGGGCAGCAGGCAGATAGCTTGGTACATGCATAATATTTTCCTAACCATCCTACCCTCTTCTTGTATCTCTCGTCTGGGACAATGTTCTACTTTGCTTAATATAGAATAACAGAGTTGGAAGGGACCTTGGAGGTCTACTAGTCCAACCCCACTTAGGCAGGAAACCCTATATCACCTCAGACAAATGGTTATCCAACATCTTCTTAAAAACTCCCAGTGTTGGAGCATTCACAACTTCTGGAGGCAAGTTGTTCCACTGATTAATTGTTGTAACTGCCAGGAAATTTCTCCTTAGTTCTAGGTTGCTTCTCTCCTTGATTAGTTTCCACCCGTTGCTTCTTGTCCGACCCTCAGGTGCTTTGGAGAATAGCTTGACTCCCTCTTCTTTGTGGCAGCCCCTGAGATATTGGAATACTGCTATCATATCTCCCCTCTTCTTTTCATTAATGACAGGGGTTGCCTTGCCCTTGAGTGCTAAATAATAATTAAAAAAATCCTAAAACAGTCTGGTTTCTCTGTTTGAAGTTGACAGGAAAGATCACAACAAGGTTACACAATAGACTAGAGGAACCATGTGTCACCAATCTTCATTTGTTAAGAACAAAAGTCGTACAAATTGGGTCATATGATATCATTCAGATGAGCCAGTCAACTCTGGAGAAATTTGAGCATAGCAAGTGACAGTCTCCCTGCACTCTTGGCAAGCTTAAATCAGTCCAGGCAGATATTTTTCCCCCTTTTATATTTTTTTTGTTGAGACGCTGTAATAGAAAAAAGTCTACATTGAACAATGATAACACAATGAAAAAAACCAACAAAATATATTATAGTGATTAAATGAATTAAACATAACAAAAAGAAAAAAAAATCCCCAAATCCGTGTGATAAGTAAAAATGAATATATGCCTACAGATTAATTCAATTATTTATTAATTTTATCATTACCATATATGTGCCATCCTCTCATTTCAGAGCACAAAGGCTTTTGAAAAATATCTATGGTAACAAATCCATACCATAGATCCATTTTTTAAAATCAGGAAAATTAGGTAAGATTTTATTTTTTTTTGGTTGTATCCAAGTTTGTTAAAACTAAAACTCTTCATAAGATGACAAAAATCTGTATTTTAGGACTATAATTCACACATCAGAGTGAGATTGCTTCATATAATATTTATTCCCAAAATGATATATTATTTTGAAATTAGAAGAAAAACCATAATAGAACAGGACCAAATCACATAAATTCTTACATCACCACAGTAAAAAGCCCTTCACTTTTTATAGTACACATTATTTGAGGAATGTAATAGACCCAGAATAATATTTTCTAATGAATTAATTTCATGTTACCATTGATTTCCCAAAATTGGATATTCTAAATCTTACTTTCACTGATCAAATATAAAGGAAAGTCTAACTTAAAATTCACTTTTCAAATACTGTATTTTATAAAGCTGACTTATTGGTTTCTCTTCAAACATTTCTTAAAGAAGCTAGAATTGCAAGTAGCTCAGAGGTTGCTAAACCACCCAGGCTTTACTTTTTAGTCAATACATGTTTCAGTTGTACACATTGTCAAGCGTATGTAGAAGACAATTGAACTCAAAAGACTCTCAAAATCTTGAAAACAATCATTAAAATCAATTAATTTTAGCTCTTAAACCGTTGTAGAATCTAATAAAACAATTTTCTCTCTATTTTCATATTTGAATTACCCCACAATGTTGGGAAAACAGGCAAATATTTGGCTGGTCCTTGCATTTATGCTAAATATAATAAATAAATAAGTCTACATCCTCTGACTTTCAGTTGGACTCCTTTAACTTCTTCTCACCAACAGTTCTCCAAAAGTCTACCTTTCCCTCTAGTTTTACCGAGATAGAAGGTTTTTTTCAGCCTCAGTTTTCATTCTTAAATTTTCACAACCAAAATGCTTCCTGCTTTTCCAGAGCTATGATTGCCAAGACTTTAATCTCAGTAAATTTGTTCAGAGTCTTCCAGGGACTCTCTGCAGGATTTTCTGCACGTGCCTGGTGATCCATCTTCACTTCTTGGTTTTAGTAGCAGATTGAGTATATATCCCCATCAGTTCTCACTTAAGGGCCGTAAAAATTCACAGTCATCTTTTGATAGCTATGATTGCAAAGACTTTTCAAGAAGTCTTTAAAGCACAAATATGAAACATCTGTACAGGACAAGGGGTTGCCTCTCAAACTAAGCATTGCAAAACAGATTAAGGAAGACAGTTTGGGGAGGGGGAATATCAAGATAACCTAAGGACCTGTCAACTTCTTCCCAAAGGAATTGGTATGATGAAGCGTAATCACCACCACTTTCAGAGAATAGCAATCCTGTGCCATATAGGTCCATCTTCTTTCTGACAACAGAGAAACAATGGCATCATTCTTACAATGGAAATAGGAATACACCTAGGACAGCAACTGATATACTATCAAAGAAAAAAGATTTACTCAGCTAGTGGCAACATCTACTGACCTTATTTAAAAGTGAAATAGAGCTGGGACTGGTTTGCATTGGGATGGAGGACAGTAAAAGAATTCCAGGTCTGTAGGTAATTTTTGCAAATGTGATTCCTTACATGGGTTTCCTTCATAGGATCTAAGCAAGGGAAGATACACTGGGAATAGTGATAGAAGAAATGGTTGCCTTTTTAAATTTGTCTCCTTCTTCTCTCCTTTAGGAGCAGTATGTAGACTTCTCTTCCAAAATGATAGGAACCAAACTTAGATGAGAACGCTTGTTGTATGCTTTTATATTCTTAATTTCATCCTCTCCCAGTTAGTCCAACATTCCATGTGTTAACTAGCATCGAAGATATAAAAGTACAATATTTAAAAAGCAGATTCTAGGAAGGTCACCTTAATATTCATTGTACCGTAAGACCTTGGGTGCAACGCAGCTTTGCTGTAAGCTGTTGATTTTGGTGGGAAACACCAAAACTTAAATTGGATTCTCTTAATGAAATCCACAGGATTTAACACAATACAACTATATTATTTTAAAACTGTTGGAAGAATCACTCAGTACCAAGATAAAGCTTTTTACCCCATTGTAAGCCACCCAGAGTCATTGTAATGTAATAAATAAAACAAAATAGCACAGAGTAACTTGGTCAATACCAGAATTACAAAACGGTGGTTCTGTTTGGTTTTACAGGGACTTCATTCTTGCAAGCTGGAAAAAAAAAACGTTCCTGAAAAGTGCCACTAGGTGGCAGCCTCTCCCTGACTGAAGAAATAGTAGCATCAATGTGTGTCAAATCAAAGTGCAAGAAAATACTGTAATGAGCTTTTCATTCCCTATCTTTCCAACTCTCTAACTTGAACATTGGCCTTAACTATCATAAAGTGTGACTACTTCAAGGTAAGTAATACCCTGTTTCCCCCAAAATAAGACATCCCCTGATAATAAGCCCAATCGGGCTTTTGAGCGCATGGCAATAAGGCCAAGCGCTTATTTCAGGGTTAAAAAAGCTATAAGACAGGGTCTTATTTTCAGGGAAACAAGATAATGGGATCAAGAGCTGGGATCTAGGCTGATTTAATCAGCACAGGCATTGGTGGGGGGGATGAGGGAATGAGATGCACAAAAGAAAATAAGAACATTTTAGTGGGGTGAGCTTTCTTCTTATGTTAAACCCCTTTCACTGCATTCACTCACAATGATAAAGTGTTACTGGAGAACACAAACATTGCCTCTCCTTCCAGTGACGGTAGGAGGACAATAGTGGAGAACGAGCAACCTGTTTATTGTCACTCTCCTCATCTGGCATTCCTCATCATCATCTTGCTGGCTTCATTCAGGAATTCAATCTCTGTCCAAGAATGCAGGACGTTAAGTACCAGTCTCCTCTCCCTGCAAAACGGTGAAACTTTTTGGGTGGAGGAAGGCAGGGAGAACTCCATCTGAGAATAATGAATGTAGATGAAGCACCAGTTAGAGGCAGTGACATGGTTCCTCCCTCAAGGGGACTGCTCCCTTCTGGCCTTGTCAGAAGCAAAAACCAAACTGGCGACAACATTTCCGTGCTTTGGGATTCTGGAAGGCACCAGGCAGCTGGTCCTGACAGCTAGGCCCATGACCCGGCTGGTCTCAGAGACATCAAGACAGCGCTACAATCCCAGTCCCTCCATGTGTGCCAGGGAGTTGTGATTTATGCCCACCTAATTATGTCCAGGCAATGGCTGAGGTAACACTGCTGCTGTGGCAACAACCTGACCTTCACTCCCACCCAGAGAGACTCTTGGGAGTGAGAAAACAGTCTTTTTGGCTTGATGGGGGTCTGAAATATCATTACATTCCGCCTGTCCTTCAAGAGAGCTAAGAACAAGATGCTTGTATTTTTCAAGGTTGGGAGGAGACATCCTCCCTACCAATGCCTCTTCTCTAAATCTTGTATATGTCCCCAGTTTCATAAATGGAATCCAAGCTGGAAGTCATGGAGAAGAGACAAGCTCACTGGTAGACAATTATTTGTTGGATTTAATGGTGGCCAAACCGCATTTCGGAAGATGTGTTCCTTCCTGTGTAACAAAATCACAACGTCCAACAGCCCCTAACAATCTAGTCAAGGATGATTGATGTTTGGAAATATAGATCAGCAAAGTTCCCCATCCCTAAGAAACAGGAAACATTGGTGCAAAGTATTGCTTGCCTTCTCCACAAAGCCCCACTAAATGTGGACTTGGGTAGATGCTTATAAATGTTGTGAAAAAGAAGATCAAACTACCTTTCTCTTCTATAATGCTAACACTTAAAAGTCCTCCGGTAAATGGCTGGTTCAGAACAATAATTGCATTAAGTCACACTTTCAATGGTTATCTTTTCTGAATTAGCAACCCCTACTTCAATATGAAAATCTATAGGAGAATTTGTATGCTGTCTTTCAGAGCTGCTTAAGGACGACGTATGCAGAGATTAGGGTGTATGCCCAGTTTCATCAAGAGAGATGCCCAGTTTCATCAATCCATCCATTTATTTATTTATTTATTTATTTATTTTATTGAATTTCTATACCGCCCTACTCCCGAAGGACTCAGGGCGGTGAACAGAGCCATGAAATAAAACACATACATATACAAAATTTAAAATCGAATAAAATGAATTAAATAAATTTGGCTGAATTGATACCCATAATTTAAAATACCCATATTTTAAAATACAGTAAAAATTTAAAATTTACACTTAAAAGGGAGAAGATTTAGGCGAGGCCAGCTTGATGAAATAAAAGAGTCTTCAGCTCGCGGCGGAAGGTGCGCAGATCCGGAATCCTCCGTATCTCTGGAGGGAGCTCATTCCAGATCGTCGGTGCCCCCACAGAGAAGGCTCTCCCCCTAGGGGCCGACAGCCGACATTGTTTGGCCGACGGCACCTGGAGGAGCCCCTCTCTGTGGGAGCGTACTGGTCGGTGGGAGGCTATTGATGGTAGTAGGCGGTCCCGTAAGTAACCAGGTCCTAAGCCATGGAGCGCTTTAAAGGTGGTAACCAGAACCTTGAAGCGCACCCAGAAGACCACCGGGAGCCAGTGCAGCTCGCGCAGGAGAGGTGTTACATGGGAGCTCCACGCTGCTCCCATAACCACCCGCGCGGCCGCACTCTGCGCCAGTTGGGCCATTTCATTCCATTTGTCTCCCATTATAATTCAATCAGGATTCCTGGTGGTGTGAGCATAATAATTAAACAGCCATGGAACTACAGAAACAGCCCCTATGTAAATTAAGAAAAAGTCATAACTAATCTAACTAATGGGACATATCCCACTTTCTTTAGTCACTATCAATCAACGCACAACAGTCTTAATCCGTATGCTAATGTTCTGCTTGCCATGCAGAAGGCCTCAGGTTTAATTTTTGGCATCTCCTATGATATGGATCAGCAGGCAGAAATGCTAAAGAGATTAGAGGCAGCTGCCCTCAGCTCAAGTAGGTTACATTGAGCTAGATGGACAAAACGGGATCGAGTAGCCATCTTTTATCAATTAGCAGAAATCTGTCTATGCACTGCCCCATAATTGTCTTATCTTTTCCAACCAGGATGTATTTTCACCACCAACAAGGAATCCATGAGAAAGAGATGCATCTGATGTGGGGATGTTTTGAAGCTAGAAGGAAAGTCATATTTTGCAAGCCTCCCGTCGAATATTAAAGCATGCTGGTATAAGGTTGAAGATTTAAAAACAAATGTGAATACCGTAAATAATTTCAGGGGATTTCGATATGCATAATGTTGAAGTCCACACTTCCACAAATGCACATACATTGGAAGAGGTCCAGTGTGTTTTGACTTGAGAATAACATTCAGTCCTAAATTCAGGTTGGTTTATATTATTTTTGAATAATGTAACACAAATGCAATGGAAGAATGTTTGTTTAGCTCCAGGTCTTTCAAACCGCTCACAATTTACAACCATATTCTGCTTGCATCATAAACTTATTATTACATGTGTTTATCTGGCCTTTTAGACAACTTTCACAATCTGTGACCATTTGCTAGGCTAACTGTAGCTGATGGGAGCTGGAATCCAACATTGGAGCCCAGCAATATTCACTGGCTATTCTACCAGATCTCCAAGAGGTTTGTGTGTTCCCAACAAAGAGCTGCACTTCCAATCACCACCCATGTGAAATGGGCTAGCCTTCCTGCCTATATGACTTTCATATCTTGCAAAAATTACAGAGCTGAAGAAGCTTCTTGGATGAGAAGCAAAACATCTTCAAAGACAAAACCAGAAAGTCCAGTTGCCTCTTGAAAAAGCACCTTTGGGACAACCATGACCTGGATGATTGAGAATCTCCATAGACGTTTGCAAAAATTACATGCAGCTAGTCCTGCCTTAGGCACAAGGCCAACTGGATGATCTTGGACCATGTCCTCTCTCTTCACCCCCAGCAAGCAGGCAAGGGCAAACCACTTCTCAATAACCTAGCCAAGAAAACTGCAGGGACTGATTCAGGCAGTCACCTGGAGTCCATATTGATGGGAAGGTAAAAAAAATCAAACCATCTATCTAGTACAAGTCTCCTGCCTGAGTAGGGGGTTGGACTAGATGATCTCCAAGGTCCCTTCCAACTCTGTTACTGTTATAAGATATGTGATGGATTTCATAGATGATGATGATGACAACTACGATGGAAGGAGACCAAGAATCATATTTCAAAGGTAGGAAAGTTGATGATAGGCAATATTCTATTCAATCAGTCTTTCGTCATTTGTAATCCCTATGCCCGTGATGGCCAACCTATGGCACTCATGCCAAAGGTGGCACGCAGAGCCCTCTCTGCTAGCACGCGCACTGTTGCCCCAGGTCAGATCTCCGTGGCGTTTCTTTCATGAGCTTCTGTTTCCCTGCAAATGACGAAACAGAAGCTCACGAAAGAAAAAAGATCTTACCTATTGCTGCACTGCCGGTGTTGGGATGCCCCGCCTCCTGCCGGCCAGCTGGTCTTTGGGTCTTTGCTCCACAGGTGCACATGCCTGCATGCATGTGTATATCTGCGCATGTCTGCACATGTGCACATCTGCGCATGTCCATGCATACACATGTCCACATGTGCGCATGTCCACACATATATGTGTCTGTGCGTGCATGTGTACATGCCTTTCAGTTTGGGCATGCGCGCATGCACAGTTTGGGCGCTAAGTGTCTAAAAAGTTCGCCATCACTGCCCTATACCGTATGTATACGGTTTTATTCTTAAAAGATATTTACAGGAAAATAAAAACTAATACAAACTAATACAAAGCAAGAGAAACAAAAGAGAAATTAAAGAGAAAGGTAAACGTGCAAGAAAGAAAAGAAAGAAAAGTAGAAGAAAGAAAAGAAAGATAAAAGATACAATGAAGTAGCTTCCAATCTTTACAGCAGTTATAAGTACAATTATAAATTTGCCTCTTCTTCTATGGTTACGACATAACTCTGTTCTTTCTATCACCAATTCTGTCTAATCATCAGATCCATAAGTCATACCTCTCAGAAAGCTTCTTAATATACAAAGGCATTATTTATGTTGAATATGATTAGAGCCTGCGGGCTGAGCAAGGGGTTTCTGCTGTATTCCAGCACCCATTGCAGATGGGAAAATCCCAGCTAAAAACTACACTCAGCGCAACTTGTGTTGCTGCTCCGCCTTGGGCGGCCATTAGGTGTCGCCCTTTCCCTGCTAGGCTCAGCCCAGGTGGCAGAGAGCGGCACCCATTCCCCATGCCAGGCAGACCGCGGTGCCCGTTATTTATACCTTTAATGGCTGCCGTGCCATCTGCTTGGCTCACATTAGCAATGCACGGGAAGGACATATTTCACCGGCAACATTGGAATGATTGCGCTGAGTGCCTCGCAAGCTATGAATCTGCAGATGCGCTGCTCTCCATCATGGCAAGCTGGGAGCAAATGACACTGTCCACTGTCCCTCCCCCACCAGTGCCCAGAGCCCCCTCACACTCACCCCATCTGTAGGAGGGACTCACTGATGCTGCAGGATTCCTACCCCAAGGAAGAAGTGAAGGTAGCCAAATCTGCAAAACAGCATCCTAACTATGTCTGAAGTTGGGCTTGTTGTAAAATCTCAGTATGGACAAGGATTTATATCTAGGGACAGACAAAATGATTGACTGCATATACATTAAAATCTATTGAGGGCTCAGGTTAAGACCTCTTCAGGTGCTGATCATTCAACTCCATCTAAATGAGATTTGATATCTGAGAAGATCAGCAGGTTTTCATGGGATGGCTGGGTATTGTCTGTACAGGTAGCCCTTGACTTATGACCACAACTGAGCAGAAAATTTCTGCTGCTGAGTGAGACATTTGTTAAGTGACATTTACGACCTTGAATTGTTAAGCCAATCGCTGCAATTGTTAAATTAGTTACACGATTGTTACACAATTGTTAAGTGAATCTGGCTTCCCCATTGAGTTTGCTTATCAGAAAGTTGCAAAAGGGGATCACTGAAACCATCGTAAAGATGAGTCACTTGCCAGGCATCTGAATTTTGATCACGTGACCATGGGAATGCTGCAACCATCGTGAATGTGAAAAACCGTTGTAAGTTATTTTTTTTCAGTGCCGTTGTAACTTTGAACGGTCACTAAATGAACTGTTGTAAGCCGAGGACTACCTGTATGCATATGGGGGCAGTGTCAATTGTCATATTCAGAGTTTGTTCTTGGGCATTAATTTGCCCCCAGATGCTCTGTTGGTAACCTTGTTCTTGTACTTGACTTTTACATAAAAATAAATAAACAGGAAGTGACGGGGTGTTTGCAGGGAGGGGTCATAAAAGTCATCACAGTAGCCAAAACATGTGATGGAAGGCCTGTCCTTTTGCAATCACGTGCAATCATGTGGTTGAAGCGGCCATCTTGACTTTTTTGCCATCCTACAGTCCCTTGTGACTGGCAGGCTGTGAAGCAAGACCCCAGCTTCTGGCACCATATTTCCTTACAGCAATGCATTGGGACCTCAAAGTCCTACAGAGATAATTCAGGGCATCACGAGGGATTGGTCTGCCTCTAAGTAAATGAGTATTATGTAACTAGTTTCATGAACAAACAAGGAAGCCACTTTGTGAATACGCCCCTGCCTTTCAAATTTTTCTCTGGGCTTCACTCCAAAAGTGAGTTACCTATCCTACATTCAGTGAAAACATGGCTTCATTGATTTTGGCTTAATGTTTTGTGTGAATGTAGCCTATTGTAGTTTGTAAACCTTGATGTAATGTGCAAATATCATCAATTCTAGCTTATTCTTCAAGCTATGGCCAACAAACCATAGTAAATACCAGTAGTCAACTAGGATTAAGACTGCGGGCTAGGGACTGGGGGTGAACCTTTACCACAAAGTAAAAGCTAGATACGTGGATAGAAGGAAGGAAATGCAGAATGCAGTTGCTATTTATCATATATAATATTTATTTGTCATATATATTCAGTATATTCATCCAGTACATATATTGCCTGTAAGATGGTGAATTGCATTCTTGCTCCTTCTCCCTATTTTATACAAAATAACATTGTGAGCAGTGGTGGGTTGCCCCCAGTTCAGACCGGTTCTATAGAACTGGTAGTAAAACCGGCGGGAGGCTCCACCCACCGACCCCGACGTCATCAGGAAACCTCTGCGCAAAAGCAGAGCATGAGCAAAGCGTGCGCGCACAGCCCCGTTGCAAACCGGTAGTAAAGATAAATAGAACCCACCCACCCCTGTCTGTGAGGTAGTTTAAGCCAGTCCAAGCCCTCCAATGAGATTTTTGTCTCAGTGAAGAATTTAAAGAGGGGCTTCCCCAGACTTAGTCTATGATTCTATCACAATCAGCTTTCAGGTGATTTCTTCTCTGGTGACTTTGACTTCCAGTTTAAGTAAGAATGATGAATTTAAAGCATAATAAATAAATAAAATAATTGTGTGTGTGTGTGTGTGTGTGTGTGTGTGTGTGTGTGTGTGTGTTTTCCTCTAGCCAGGTTTTTCCTACGTAACCAAGGTTTTTCTGCAGCCCTAGCTCAGTAGAATCACATCCACTCGATTCTGGGCTTTTTTCTTTTCTGGCAGCCAGCAAGTTCCGGCTGCTAGGTGAGAGACTTATATAGATCTATTTCCAGCTTGTTAGCTTTCATCAGTAAGTCACACCCACATCTCATGTATCCTCCCTGTAAAGGTATAGTATCTATTTTCTTACTTCTTCGTAGGATTTATGTGTGTTTTTCCTCTAGCCAGGTTTTTCCTACGTAACCAAGGTTTTTCTGCAGCCCTAGCTCAGTAGAATCACATCCACTCGATTCTGGGCTTTTTTCTTTTCTGGCAGCCAGCCAGAAAACATATATATGCAAAAAATTAAAATCTCGGGTGTTTTCCCGCGTCATGTTAAATAAGTTAGTTAAAATTTTATTTAACATGACGCGGGAAAACACCCGAGATTTTAATTTTTTGCATATACACACCCGCAAAAACTTAAGAAGACAGATATACATACATACATACATACATACATACAGACAGACAGACAGACAGACAGACAGATAGATAGATAGATAGATAGATAGTGTTTTTCTATCGAGGCACCTGGTCTACCCCAGCATGTGGGAGGGAGCATACTGCATCCCTTTCGCCTTTCACCTCCAATCCAAGAGCCCTCAAGCAGTCGCATTCACAACAAACCATTTTATACCAAATGGTACCAATTTCTTTATCAGCGAAATATAAATTATGTGTGTGTGTGTGTGTATGTATACACACACACACACACACACACACACACATACATACATGCTTAAACAAAGCAATGCCTGCAAAAGAACCAATTTTCCTCTTGTCTCAGTAGTTTTCTTACTGCCACCCAATTAGCCCAGTAAGAAGCAGCTATATCTCTCCACACACACCCGACCTGAGGTGGGTGTACATCAATAAACAATTGTAGTGAGGAAAAAGAATGATTCATAGATGCTCCTGAGAGGGTTACAGACATGTAATAGAGATGAATATGAGCATGTCATTTCAAAACTTTCCAGATGGCTGTAAACCAGAATTATAAACAAACTCTCTGACAATAGGTTGATTGCTTATCGCTTACCCGTGGTCTACTGGTTTATTGGCAACGTATGTGAGCTGTTGCTTCCAGACCTGCCCCTGATACATTGCTTCAAATCAACAATGGCTCTGCAAAAGCCCGCTTACATGATTGCAGCTGGGAGAATTCCTTGCTGGGGATCTCAATAGATTCCTGTTGCTTTTGTTCCGGAATATGGCAAACGCTGTTGGGGCAAAGAGGAAAGGCAATCAAAAGGTAAACTGAGATTAAGCTTTGGTGAAGAGGGAGTGCAGTATCAGGTTAATTAGATTGCCTCAGCTTCAATCACGCCACGGGAAACCATGGGAAAAAAACCAAATTGTACAAGTGTTGGAATTTAAGAATTTAGGAAGCTACTTTATACCAGAGCAGTCTGTTGATTTAACCATGTGTTGCCTAATCTGACAGGGACAAGTTTAGTTTATTTTGGATTTATATACCGCCCTACTCCCGAAGGACTCAGGGCGGTGAACAGCCAAAGATAAAACACATATAATATAATATAAAATTTAAAAAACAATTTAAAACACATTAAATAAATTTGGCCCATAATGATTAAAACACCCCTGGTTTTAAAAACAAATTAAAATTAAACAATTTAAAAGGAGTTAGGCCAGCCCAGCCTGCTGGAATAAAAAGGTCTTGAGGGCACAGCGGAAAGTGCGTAAATCTGGGATCCTCCGTATCTCCGGGGGGAGCTCATTCCAAATGCCCCCACAGAGAAGGCTCTCTCCCTGGGGGCCGCCAGTCGACACTGTTTGACCGACGGCACCCTGAGGAGTCCCTCTCTGTGGGAGCATACTGGCCGGTGAGAGGCTACCGGTGGCAGAAGGCGTTCTTGTAGGTAGTCTTTAGATAGATAACTTTTTCAGAACCAGATTCTATTACCCAGGTTCTCTTGTGGCTGAAACTTTTCCTGTTGCCCTGCTAATTTAATCAATCCCCAGCCCTTGCATGCTGGGGGAAAAAAAACTCCCACCTTTCTCTTCTTGAAGAGCATCTCTGCAGCTCATTCTGAGATCCCATATCCATTGTAATCAGCCTAAGTACATACACTTTTATTTTCTATTCTATCAACTTTTTTTTAAAAAAAAAGTCTCTTAGGAGGAAAAACATGCAGGCCAATTCCCTACTTTTAAAATAAGCTTTTCCAATTTGGTCTTCTGGTTTTTAGAATTACAAACTAGCATGGAGGCTTGGGATAGTTAGGGGAACGAGGACACCAAGTTGAGGAAGGCTAGCACTGACGATGCTTTTCAGAATGTTTTTGGGCCCCACCTGAGGGGAAAAAAATCATCGAAGAATGATCAAGAACATCACCAATTCATTAGACAAGATGGCAAGGCCCATATCCATCTCTTGTCTTCCTGGAAATGGCCGTATCCCAACCCTGGTTAGCCATTTTGCAAATGAGCAAACTCTTTCTATGGCTCTAATTTATGAGGTCGCCTTCGGTATACCCTCAAAACTATTGGCTCAAAAAGGACGACGTGAGCTTCCTTTTCACCCAACTGTGAATATGTTATGTTTAAAAAATCCAGAGTGCAATTCAATGCTTTGTATCATATTTACATTGGACAATGGAAGTTTTGTGTTTCTCCTCAAGACCTCTTCGACTGGCATTCTTTTTGTAACATGCCGTTCCTTTCTCTTCAGTGTTGAATTAAAAAACTCAGCCTGCTTCTCAGACATCTTGATGACAGTTTTACTATACAGCATTCCATTCCAGAGTGCTATGGGTCAAACCAGATTCTCATTCTCCTCCCTCCCTCCCTCCTCCCCCCCCTTTGTATTCTGCCACCAGGTCTGGCTCTGTCCCAATTCTATAGAAAACAAGGAAATCTGATTTTAGCCAACCAATTTTGTAGGGTCAAGGAGTTGATGTCCTGGTGTGCTGTGGTTCCTTAGAGCGCTCAAACATTCATTTTCTCTTAGCTTGGATAAGTTTTGTTTAACACAATCCCAGGCTGAAAAAATAATACCTTCAAAGAGATATATAGGAGCAGAAGAAAGGATCCAAAAATGTGGTCTATGTGTTGGAAGTTCCAAAAATTGACCATCCTTGTTCTTCTCAGTCCATATAATTTAAGTATTTAGGGTCTGAAACATGCTGATTACCATGCCTGGTTTGGCTTGCCGAAGAGCAGAAGTAGACTATGTAGGAATTCTACACCCATGCAGAGATGCATTGGCTATCTTCTTCAAATCCTTCCCCGCCCGTATTAATTTAAGGAAAGAGTCAGTCTGGTGTAGTGGTTAAGGCACCAGGCTAGAACTGTGAATTCTAGTCCCACCTTAGGCACAAAGCCAGTTGTGTGACCTTGGGCCAGTCCCTGTTTCATCCCAAGGAAAGAGATAAAACCAAGCCATTTCTGATCACCTTGCCAAGAAAAGTGCAAGGACCTGTTCAGACAGTCTCCAGGATCAACATTGACTCAAAAACATCAAAGCAATTAATCTAAGGGCAGACAATGGTGCTTCTGAGGTCAAGAAGCAGCCCAGAGTAAGGCAAAGGGATATTTCTCTAGTTCAGCCTATCCCAACCTGACCCCCTCCAAGGCACTGGGACTGCAACTCTCCAGTTCCCGGCCAGCCCAGGAATCCCTCCAATCTGCCTAGTGAAAACTAGTTGGGAAAAACCAATCAAGCTCCATGTCTCCCTGTGGCCTGGGCAATCTTGGCTTTAAGGAATCTGGGATTTAAAAAACATCTGGAATTCACTAATCCTGCTGTAGTTGTTCTCAGCCTAAATATATGAAGAAGACTCATGGCACTGAAAAGACAAAATGGCTGTTTTCCGCTCCCACACCCCCAAATAAAAGGAGCGCCTGGATGCCCTGCAAGTATCTGGGATTTACTTTAATAACCCTGCCTTCCTTTCCATTCATCTCTCCTCCTCTCCCTGTGCCTAGTTTGGGGTGAGATTAGGCTCATCTTACTTGGCTAGGCCTAAAAATTTCCACACTCTGAATGTTTGGGCCTGAGAAAGACAATTTACAGCGAAAGAAAAACAGACAAGCATAATCAGAGGCTTTGAAAGGGGAGAAATTCCATAATTCCCTTGGCTCCTTGACAGGAAACAAAAGTTTTGTGTCTGACAGCCAAAAGTCTATAAAAACCAGTTTTTTTGGGGTCAAGATGCAATCGGAGAAGACAGGACAAGATGCTAACTTTTATTGGTGGAATTCCAGGGGTGGTGGTGGAGTGGGGAGTAATGAAAGAGAACTTCAACCCAATTCCAACAGGGGAGCCCTGAATGATCCAAGCAGATATTTCAGTGTCATTCCAATAACCTCTTTAAAAAAAAGAAACATCATGTGCTAATGTGCCTTCCATCTCTTCCTTTGGCAATGGCCAGCCTGCCTGCCTTTAACTAAAAAGCCTGAATCCTTGAACGTTGTTACACATATCCTTTTGTTTGTTAGATTTTTTTTAAAAATCCGTCTTTATTACTTTATAATTCAAGGCAGCGAATACACCTAATACCTCTTCCTTCTTTATTTTCCCCACAACAACAACACTGCCAGATGGATTGGGCTGAGAGAGAATGACTGGCCCAAAGTCACCAAGCTGACTTTCATACCTAAGGTGGAACCAGAACTCACAGTCTCCTGGTTTCCAGGCCAGCACCATCACCATTACAGCAAACTGGGAGAGAGTGATTTCCTCTGATTAGTCTAGTTTAACACTAAATGATGATGATGATGATGATGATGATGATGATGATGATGATGATGATGATGACGACAACAACAACCTAGGATGCTGGCAGCAACCCGTACCATTAGCATCAGTCAATGGTATTTGTGATGCATTTTTGAATGTTCAGTTGACTGAGTTTCATGTTTAATGAATGAATAAATGACTAAATAAATAAATGAATAAATAAAAAATAATAATAATTACCAGGAGACGCCAGAGTCAAAGAAAAAGAACTGGAAAAAATCATGAAATATCGCGACCTGGCCATAAAAAATACATGGCAATGGATGAAACATGTCACAGTGATACCCATTGTCATCGGGGCACTTGGTACCATGCAGGGGTGAAATGCTCCCGGTTCGGACAGGATCGCCCGATCCGGTAGCGAAGGCGGCGAGTTGTTCGGAGAACTGGTATCATCAGAGGCTGTTTTTTTTTTTACTTTTAAAAGCATTTTTTCACCGCCTTGAGTCCTACGAGAGAAAGGCGGTATAGAAATATAATAAATAAAATAAATAAATTTTTTTACAACCTCTTCAGCCGAAAAAATGCTTTTAAAAGTTAAAAAAAAGCCTCTGATGATTGCGCAGCTCAGCTGGGCATTGGGGGGGAGGGGCGCAGGGATTTTTGCTACCAGTTCTCCGAACCACCCGCCTTCTAAAAGCATTTTTTTCTACTTTTTTTCTTTTTTTCTCTTCGGCCGAAGAGGTTGTAGGAAAAAAAATGCCTTTAAAAGCTTCTGACGATCCCAGCTGAGTTGCCTGATCGTCAGAGGCTTTTAAAAGCATTTTTTTCCTGCAACCTCTTCAGCTAAAGAGGTTGTAGAAAAAATGCTTATAAAAGTAAAAAAAAAAAAAAAGTTGGCCACACCCATCCAATCACATTAAACCCCCCCACCAAGCCACACCCACATAACTGGTAGTAACAAATTTTAGATTTCACCCCTGGTACCATGTCCAAGAATTTCACAAAACAGCTTTCTGCAATAACACCAGCGGAACTGCAAAAAACTGCGCTACTTGGAACATCATATATTTTAAGAAGGTACTCGGTTGATACTTAGGACGCTGGCAGCAACCCATATCAACCATTAGCACCAATCAATGGTATTTGTGACACATTTTTAAATGTCCAGTTGACTGAGTTTCATTTTTAATGAATAAAAGAGAATAATAATAATAATACACTTTCAAAGCCTAGGCATGAGCCACAGGTAACATCCCACTTTTGGTCATGCTGTCTGGGAATTGTGGGAGTTGTAGTTCCACCAGGCCAGCATATGTTTAATTCAGATGTAGGGTTCATCATGTCATGGTGGGTTCCAAGGTTAAATTTCAGTGAGCCTGCAGTCATGGACAAGAAGTTTAGCAAGACTCTTTTTTTAAAAAAATAGCACAATGCAGATACAGTACCAGGCAAGCAAGGGAGATGGACTGATGAATACATCTGATGCCAGTGAGTTTCAGCTTTAAATGACGAGTACCTGGAAAGCTGGGTTGTCTAGCCTTGTGTTGTGGGGGGGCAACACAGTGGGGGGTTTACTGATTCCTCCCTTCTCCCTTCTCCCGCTTTGCTTTGGTTGCTCTTTTGGAAGTCTTCCCTTTCTCCTTCTTGCAATAGCTTTTAACAGAATAACAGAGTTGAAAGGGACCTTGAAGGTCTTCTAGTCCAACCCACTGCTTAAGCAGGAAACCTTATGACACGTAGCTGTCTAGTCTCTTCTTAAAAGCCTCCAGTGGTAGAACACCCACAATTTCTGAAGGCAAGCCATTCCACTGGTTAATTGTTCTCTGAGTTTTCAGGCGACATACTGGGCTGGAGGGAGGACAGTGGTAGGCTATGGAGGACATGGTTCGCCGATCTAAAAGGTCTTTCAGTGGAACCACTTGGCGAATTCCCCAGGACCAGTTGGTCCTCCTGCTGTTGCCGGTTCGGATCAGTTCGGGCGAACCGGTAGTTCTGATGATTAGCTGGCCCAGCCCAGCCACCCCCGCCCTATTCTGTTCAGAGGTGGGTTCTACTTGCCTTTACTACCGGTTCGCAACGGGATCGTGCATGCACGTTCACTTCGCTCGTGTGCGCACCTTGCTTCTGCACATGAGCAGATCGCTTCTGATGATGTCAGAGTCAGTGGGCGGAGCCTCCCGCCAGTTTTACTACCAGTTCTATAGAACCGGTACAAACCGGGGGCAACCCACCACTGATTCTTTCCTATATTTCCTTCTTTCTGGCTCAGCTGATTCGTGCAGCACAGCTGACTTCCGCTCCTCCACTGTTCTACTTACTGGGGCTGCCTTAGAAGGTAAGCAGCTAAGCTTCAAATTGCTGTATTTTGAACGCTGCGTGCAAGCGTGTTAGGCACGCGCACACACGCTCACTGAACCGACTGTTAAACCAGTTGCAGCCCATCACTGGAGGAGAAGTAATACACCAGAAAAATCACACCCTTGTCCCCTTTCAGGAAACTCCACAAAAAATTAATAGGAATTCAGATTAATAGGAATACAGATCAGTTTCTTTCTTTCCAACCCATCAGAATGTTGGTGGGAAATTGTGTAAAGGGGCTCTGTTCATCCGTCAGCAAGGTAACACTTAAAACTGAACTGAAAGGGGCCACCCATAAGAGAAGCCAGGAGAAGAAATGAGTGAGTTTCTTTCTTTCTTATTTACTTGGGTTTATACGGTTGCTCTTCTCACCACAGTGACTTTGGGTGACATAAAAACTCAGTGCAAAATAACAATAGATAAATAACATATAGTAGCAAATGTGGGCTGGATTTGGGAAGAGTCGGGGTGGGGTGGGAGAAATAATACCTCTATGGTTGCCTCTGGAGGTGGCCTCAGTTCACGATAATGCTGATGATTTTATTCTCCTTTCCAATATTGGGGTTTAGATCTGAGCTCTTTTCAAGGAGTTAGGAAGTCTTGTTCTGCAGATTTCTCCTAGCTTAATAAAATACTAAAATAACAAAAAGGAAGTGCCATTTTTCACCCTTACCTTTGCACACCAAAGCAGGCTACATGGATGGATGAACAGGTTAAGTGGAAAACAAGGCCCAAATCAACCAGTTGAATGACTCACAAACTGCTTCTCTTCTTGAATACTCCTAACAGTGGAGTATTCTGATTATTGTTATTTTTTATTCCACCCTTTTTATATATAACTCAAGATGGCGAACATACCCAATAATGGTTCCAAACTGACTTTTGAAGGAAGAAAATGAATGGATTATTAGAAGATGTCATCCATTAAATTGTTTATTTGGTGGTGATATTCCAGAATTTCAGTGCCAACCTGTCCAAAAAATCTCCAGGAATGAGTCAGGGATCCCTTATACTTATCCATAACGCGGTTTATTGGGTTTGAATGTAGCTTTTTTATTTTTATGTATTTATTCATTTTTGTCCTGCATTGATTATATTTATAAATAACTCAAGGCACTGAATATACTTAATACTCCTTCCTCTTATTTTCCCCACACAACAACTCAGCAAGGTGAGTTGGGATGAGACCGTCAGCTCCAAAGTCAAGCAACCCGCTGTTATACTAATCCAATTAGTGAAGTATACAAAGCATTTGATATAATTTTGCATGCTGGTATTATTAAATCTTGTTATATAAACCAAGATTAACCAAACCAGAATTTAGCAGAATGTTGGAATCATAGATGTGTGGTGTATGAATCCAACCATCCTGAAATCTTGCATAAACATAAATTATGACAACATTACTGTATGTATGAACCAGGCTACTATAACATATTCAATAAACCACAATTAAAATAATCATGTCATATATAAATCGAGCTTAGGTCATAAACTTCGTATTCTATTACTAAACTGTGGGATTTTTTTTTTCCTGTTCCAGAAACACAAAAGCAGCAAATATAATGCCTTTTTCCCTCTCTTTCTTGTCACTTTAGCTCCATGTCCTGGTATGAACGTTTGCATTGGCCTACAGGGCCTGTGTGTCTTGGATCAGGCCAATGCGATGTTTGCTTCAGTTGGATTATGTTCTGCTGGCAAACCTGTGCAAGCTTTGGAGGACTGCAGAGTTCTTCAAGAGGCTCTTTGGTCCCAGACATCTGGCAAGAAATATGCAGGAAACAGTGGTGGAAAACAATTTCTGACGAAAAACTCACCAGGCGAGCAGGGACGTGGGTGTACGTGTTTGATTGCAATTCAGAAACTTTGTTGATGTCCTAGGAGCAGAGGACACCAAACTAAGCAGGTCAGATATTTTGCAAGGTTTTTTTTTTTTTTAAAGATCCTGTTAACTATTTACTAGAGGGTGCTTTCAGTGCTTTGAGAAATGAGGCCTGTTTTTTTTTTAAAAAAACCTCCATTTTACATGTGACTTAATCTTACCTGTTTCCATTCCATGTTCTCCATCCGTCCACCCTTTACTTTACAATATTTGGCCCCCAGGCAGATAAGCAGACATCCAAGCTAAACTCTGAGCTGTAGCCATTTGCCATTTTTGTGGTATTGTCTAATGGGACAATATCAGGGCCTGGAGGCATTCTTCAAAGTAGAAACGGCTGCTTCACTGTGCAACTTATGTAAGAAATGCAGGTAGAAAAAGCAGCTGGATCAGGAAGCCTGATAGAACCAAGGGAGGTATGGGGGGAGGGTGTCCAGCAGTCTCTCTCCCCCCACCCCACCCACACCGCACTGTCCAAGCCAACTTGTTTGAGGCCTCTCTCCATATTTTATAGCTTTGGAACCAGAAGGAGGGCGCCTCTCTTGTGGAGGTTAGAATCTGCTTGCTGCCGGTGGAGCTATATTAAGCTGTTTTTTATCTTCCTAGATTTCCTAAATTGATTTTAACACAGTGTATCTTTATTTATTTATTTATTTATTTATTGCTATTTTATCTTCTTTTTATAGATAGATACTTTATTCTATTTTAGTAGCATGGTTTTATTATGATTGCACACCCCCTCAGACACCAATTGAGCATCCCAGAATTGGTGGCACAGAAATTTTAAAAAAAAATTATTTAAAAGATATTAATACCAAGGAGGATAAACTCTCTAAAGCTGGGTTAGAAATCTTGTACTTAAGCCTTTGATTGCAGGAATTTAGTTGTTGAAATAAATGGTTGGAAAAACCTTTGCCCATTTAAGATTTGTGTAAATCACTCTTACAGGCATGTTAAGTGCAGGCTTTACAGAAATGGATACCAGCACAAGAAGGTTCGTTTGATCAACTGTGTTGGCTTCTTCCAGCTGTGTATTTCTCTTTATTTTATGCCCGTCTGACACTATAGCAAAAGAAGTTCTCAGTGTTTTTCCTATTGGTTGTTGGGGTTTTTTTTTATAGCTTGCAGGATAAACTTACACAGCACAGGCCATAATTCCTAGTGGAGTCACAAATCAAGATTGCTGCATCAGTAAAAGGCAGAGCACATGTTGGAAACAAGAAGAAGTAACAGGCACCAGATTCTTTCTGGCAAAGCTGGAAGAAATGTACGCCAAATACTTGTGAAGGCTCGCAATCAGAAGTAGAAGAATCTGGGACAAGACTCTCCAAAATGGGATCCGCCTTAATGGGAAAAGCAACCAAGGAGAAATGATCAATAAACAAAGACTACATTGGACCTGCTTATGTGAAAATATCTTCCACAAAAGATATATCCTAATGTAACAGTCTTCTCAATTGATACAGATCCTGCAACTATCACAATAAGCTTCACATAAACTGGCACCTCAATTAAGTTTTGCAAGACTTTCACAATGAAATCCTCTATATGTGAACCCGAAACTAAGTTGTAGTGTGTTAGTTAGGGTTAGGCTCAGAGGTTGGTTTCAGCAGGTTCTGACAGATCTGGAGAACCAGTAACGGAAATTTTGAGTAGTTCAGAGAACCGGTAGTGAAAAATTCTGACTGGTGCCACCCCCATCTATTCTCTGCCTCCCATGTCCCAGCTGATTGGGAGGAAATGGGGATTTTGCAGTATCCTTCCCCTGCCATGCCCACCAAGCCACGCCAATCAAGCCATGCCATGCCACGCCCACCAAGCCACGCCCATAGAACTGGTAGTAAAAAAAATTGAAACCCACCACTGGTTAGGCTCCATGTTAGGAATATAAAACCGGTGCCAAACATTAGGATGACCTCTAGATAGCAGCATAGAGATGCAAAACAGTCATTTTTTTTAATAGTGTTCCACTGTCATCTGTTGGTCCTTTGGATTTTGCCACTCAGATCTTGCTGGCTTAGTTTACCCTCAGTATGTTATTTGGACTGAATCCTGAATCATGTTCAAACTTTTCTAATATGGTTGTTTACTGCCCAGAGTCACTTTGTATGTGATGGGTGGCCATATAAATTTACTAAATAAATAATATAGAAAAAAAAGTACAATATTCCCTGACAATGTGCCTCAGTACAAACGGGTAGAAGATCTTGTCCAGTTTAATCAACTTGTGGAAAGCTAATAGTATTTCACAAAAATGCCTTCTTCCCTTTGCATTTGGCCTCCTTATTCCATGTGTCTCTTTATCATACAACAATTACCAGTTCCTAAGGTTTTTTGTTTTACCTTAGCTAACAGTGGAAACCAAATGGTATTTCACCTAGCAAACCATAACATTCACCTATCCCCAAGGAAGAATCTGGGGAAGATTCACCTACCCCAAGGAAGAATTTCTCATAAGTCGCATTTTATTTACACAATACAGTATGTTTAGATTGCAACCCACAATTAATCAGTGCCAATTTTATCTTTGAAAATTAGTTATTTAATACAACTCAATCTTGTATAACTTTACTGAAAAGTAAGAAGCTACTACCACATGGACACTGTGCCAATTTCAAAAGGACTTCCAGAACTCTGTGATTTCAAGTTAGTGGTGTTTGAGGGCTGAACTACTTTTTTCCTTTCCTTTTGTTTTCTTTTTTTAATACTGCAGCTTTGTCGATTTTATGGATGACCTGTTTCCTCATTTACAGAAATTTCTTGAGTTACCCTTGCTGTATAAAGTCTTCCAATGGGAACAGTGGCTTGACTGCTTTGTAGCTCTGTAGTCAAATGGTGCAAGAACCATTCAGATTTTTCTTGAATATGAACAGACAATTGTATAAAACAAGGACATTTTGGACTGTTCTAGAATCTCTGGCAAGGGTGGTAATTCAATTGTTTTCTGTTCCTAGTTCTCAGCATTTGGGATTTGGCAGCAGTGAAGATGACTATAGGTTGTCCTCAAGCTGGTTTCAAAAGACTGGGGAGTGGAAATGGAAGTGAAAAAGTCTGAAACTGCCCTTGGAGCCATTAAACCTCTGAGATTTATTCCCCAGTATGTGTAGATAGGACTGTAGCCTAAATTATTCATTGTCTTTTTGAAGTTAAGAATACTCATGCCATTTATCTAAGCCATTTTATCTGATTTTTCAGTACATTAGTCCAATAGCACTTAAGTGGAATCAGTCTAAAAGCTAAAAGGCAAAAATTCTGTTAATGGAGAAGGGATGAAACAGAAGAACACAGTAAATGCAGTCTATGAAGACAGAAAAATAATTTGTTTACCAGTCATTAAACAGTTGACTTATACACCATTTTTCCTGCCAGATATATTAATGGTGATATGCTGGCTAATTGGTACTGAAATTATATTTAATGTTGGGGAAAGTACAAACACAAAGCCAGCTTGATGTAGTGGTTCAGGCATTAGGTTAGAAACCAGTAGACTGTGAGTTCTAGGCTTGTCTTAAGCACAAAACCAACTGGAAGACCATGGCTCAGTCATGTTCTCTCAACCCTAGGAAGGAAGGAAGGGCAAACCACTTCTGGGGTGAGTGGGCGGGAACTCTGCCAAGAAAACTTCAGGGACTGTCCACGAAATCTCTGAGAATCAGATGATTGAACCATACACACTCTCTCTCTCCTGTATATAAAACCAAGCCTTTAAAAAAATCAACAGGATAGTACAGAAAATGTCCATTTTCAGACAAATTCTCATTATTAATTATATCAATTATATCAGCCAAAAATGATTAGGGTGAAAGCAACCTACATTTTCATCAGTGGAAGGAAATAGTTTTTTGTCAATATAGCGCCGTCAGGGCCGGATTTAGATGAAAAGAGGCCCTAGGCTATTCCACTTATGAGGCCCTTTCACCAGTGGTGGGATTCAATTTTTTTAACAACAGGTTCTGTGGGCGTGGCTTAGTTGGGGGTGTGGCTTGGCAATCATGTGACTGGGTGGGCGTGGCTAGCTGGTCACGTGACTGTGTAGGCGTGGGTAGCTCGTCATGTGACCGGGTGGGCATGGCTATGTGCATAGGGACTACTCAGAGGGCTGAAAAAAGTCATTTCTGACTGGGCCTAGCACTTTTGACCGGTCCTCACACTTATGACCATCCTCACATTTATGCCCGTGCAGCTTTCTTAACAACCATGTCACTCATTTCACAACTGCTTCTCTTCACCATGGTGACAAGATAGGGCAAAAACGTAAAATGTGAGGACAGTCGTAAGTTCGAGGACTGGTCAAAAGTGCAAGGACCAGTCAAAAATAACTTTTTCAGCCCTCTGAGTAGTCCATATGCACAAAAGGACTACCCAGAGGGCTGAAAAAAGTGATTTCTGACAGGTCCTCGCACTTTTGACCAGTCTTCGCACTTATGACTGGTCACCATTTATGCCCATTGTAGCATTCTTAACAACCATGTCACTCATTTCACAACTGCTTCTCTTCACCATGGTGACAAGATAGGGCAAAAACGTAAAATGTGAGGACAGTCGTAAGTTTGAGGACTGGTCAAAAGTGCGAGGACCAGTCAGAAATAACTTTTTCAGCCCTCTGAGTAGTCCATATGCATGAAAGGACACAGCAATAGAGAGGGATGAAGGAAGGGAAGGGAAATTAGAGTAGGAGTGACGGTAAGAGAGGGAGGAAGAGAGGAGGAGAAGGAGAAAGGAAGAGGAAGTAGGGAGGAGAAGAAGAGGGGGAGGAAGAGAAAGTAAGAAGGAAAGAAAAGAGAGAGGTGGTAGGTTTGAGGAGAAAGATTGCTGTACAATAAAAAAGATGAAAGGAAAGAAAGCCAACCCCAAACAAATATAAAGATATTAAGATAAAGAATGAATTGTTAAACTTTAAAGAATAAAAGAGAACAAATATGAATAAATAACAATAATTAGAAAAACACATACAAACATACAATATATTTTCTTTGAACAGAGTATTTGGCCGGTTCACAAATTTAAACAGTGTTTAGTCATTTCAATTAAATTTACAATTTCTATATTTCCTTTTTGCCATATTTATTCCTCATCTATTTTTGTAAAAATCCAATATTACCCTTCATCCTCATCTCTAATCTTAAACAAATTCAATTTTTCCCTTCTATTCTATATTATAACCCTTCCCATTGTCATCTATTTTTATATCCATCCTCACATTGGTTAATTATGTAATATTAGTTGTTTAATATAAATTCAACATTTTCATATAAATCAATTAGTTATATAACTACCATTTTTTGTATATTAATCAATATGAACATGAATATTCCAATTATTTCCATGCAATCCAATTTCTTACAAATCAATTAATTATATTTACCAATAATAATAAACCAAATAATTTCCCCCATATATTCCTCCAAACCACAATTTAACCATTTCTGTTTTCAGAAATATACAATTAATAGTATCTCAATTATTACAATTCCCTAGTTAAATAGAGCTTTTTTTCTTTTGTGTTTTAAAATCCTGAACTCTCCCTCTTTTTCCCTAAATTTCCCATTGTTTGCATCTACCTTTTTTGGTGAAGAAAAAGAAAAGAATTCTGCCTGCCTAATTTTCCAACCTTGGAGCAACAGCAAAGCAGTTTCACTTTCGTTTCTCAGCACAGCTAGGGGGAAAAAAACCAGCACTTTTTGCACCGAAGCAGAAGAGCCCTGAGCAAAACAGCTGAGACAAATCAGCTGAGAGCCGGGAGGCCAATTAGCCTATGCTGAAGCTCTGTGGGCCAATAAAATTACAAAAAAAACCACCGAACCCTTTGTTAAATTGCTGGCTCCCCCGCCCCTCGCCCACCACTATTTATTGGCAATAAATAGTGGTGCGGAGGGGCGGGGCAAGGCAGCAATTTAACAAAGGGTTCGGCTGCACCACTGGCTCTAGGGCGGCCCTTTGAAGCCCCGCAGCAAGAATTTGAAGTTTTTTTTTCCTCTAGCCATCGGAGGCAGCAATAGATTGGGAGTGGGCGGGGTAAGCGAACGGCCGGCGATCCAACAGAGCAGAGAGGGAGGGTGAGTGAAGGCGTGGAAGCGGCTTTCTCCATCCTGCTCTCTTGCGTCCGGAGCCGGTGGGGAACCACGTGGCAGCCCATGTGGATCCCAGGCAGCGGAACTCAGGCTAGGGAAGGGGTGGGCAATTGTGGCTCTTTTACAACCTGTGGCCTTCAACTCCCAGAATTCCTGAGACAGCCAAGCTGCATCAGGAATTCTGGAAGTTGAAGTCCACAGGTTGTAAAAGAGCCACAATTGCCTACCCCTGGCTACGGTAGGCTCGCCTCCCAGTGGGTGGGAGGCGAGGGGTGGGCGAGCCAGCAATTTAACAAAGGGTTCGGCCGAGCCACCTAGAACCCCCAG